TGTATGGGATGCCTAAATGGGGAGCTCCTTGATGCCCATGGCGTGGAGCTCCTCTGGTTTGAGGTCCTCTAGGTTGTGCTCCTCCTTATTGTCCAACAAGCATCTATTGTAGGATCCGCTAATTTTGAGTCACAAGCTGCTACATTATTTTCTGCATCTGTTGTGCATTTAGAACAGGGTTGGTTGGTGGAGGGGCAACCTTTTCCTCTTGTGGTGGATTTATCTTTGGGTTGATTCATAGATTTGGTGGTGATTGCCATAAGTATGGCAAGAAAAGTGCTCAGGTGAGAATTTTGTTGATTTCCATAGACGGCGCTAAATTGATGATGCACAAATTGATTTTATGCACCACCAATCGAGTGATTGGTAATAAATGCAATAATTAAATAAAGAGAGAGAGAGAGAAAGACAGTAACTTGAGCAATGCAATTATGTAGAGTGGTTCAGTCAATGTGACCTATATCCACTTCAAAGGGTTAGGGTCGCTTGGGTATTTTATTATTTTGAAGAGTGTAGGGAGATACAAGTTATGAGGGACATAGGATAATGATAGTAGATGTGCTTGATTATATGTGATGTCTCCCAAGTGTTGGTGGGGCTTACAATTTATAGTCGTCTCATAACAAATTGAGACAACTTATCACTAACTAAAATGCTAAATTGGTGGAGTTGGAACCATCTTCTCAACGGATGAGGCAGTTATAACGCTCCCTATAGGATCCGGTCAAAAGATGACGTGGTGGTTGATTTCTTTCAATGCGGCGTGGTTGAGGCTCTTGGATGACCCTACTTACTCCCTTGGTGATGTAACTCCTCGAACTTTGATGAGCTTGACCAAGCATACATAGTACAACGAAAAGAATTCATGAAGCAAAGGAAAAAAATTGGATGAGGCTCTTGGCCTAGACCTATCGGATCTCTTTAAGTAGGGCTCTTAATTTAAATTGGGTTTATAACATGAATTGGGCCCTTGGGCCTGACCCATCATTAAATAACATGGGTTATATGTATAGGTTGTAACCGAAGAAGTTGAACAATAGTACAATGAAAAGAATTCAAGAAGTAAAGGAAAAAAATGAGGCAAATTGTGACATTGCACCTTCAATAACGAATTGAATGCCGAATAGTTTTTTTTCGCGTAACTGCAGGAAAAAATTCTTATGCTACATATTATAAAAAAATTAAAATTATATGTGATTGATCATGACATTTTATAAATGATCATAATTTTGTAATTTTGCAATGGATGATAAATAATTTCATCCAGTTGTAACTTGATTTAAAAAGTATAACTTAACCTTTAAAAATTGTATATTTTATAATTGATTACAATATTTCATGAGTGATCATTACTTTTTGAGTTACAATTTTGATCAGTTGCAAGAATTTTAATTCAGACTCTCATAAAATTATTTTAGTACGGTACCTTATTTGGTAGTGTAAGTTTTGACATGTGTTATGTCATCTTGTTATATTTATAGATTATTGTTAATTAACATTGATTATATCTACAAATTGTAGTCGAAGAAGTTGAAGCAAAGGAAATAAATAAGGCAAAGGAAATGAAATTTAAAAAAAAAAAAAAATTGTTAACCAACATTATACACATACAATCAATATTATACCGATACAATGCTTTCACTCATGTTCGAAAGGAGTCTAAATTCTAAATGTGTGCATATCTCGAATCAATGTGTGGGAAATGATTTTCATTCGTAATTTATTTCCAATTTTGGGAAACAATTTTCACGTTGTGGCTAGCGCAATTATGTGGCTGCTATCTCAATGAAAGTTCCGTATTCATTCAAAAATAAATAAATAGACACAAAAATTTACATACAAATTTGGATACCATGTTGCTTTAGGGGTTGACAGAATATTCTTTTGTCACTGGGGCTTGGAACAGAGCATGCACAAAATGTACAAAAAAACCTTTACCACCAAGCTTTTTGAGATTTTGTGAGAGGTGAAATATACAGAGTTGGGGGAGACACACAGATGTGTAAGAGAGAGACAAAATGTAGGAGTCTGATAGAGCGCAGAGTGAAAGAGGGGTAGAGATGTGTGAAAGAGAGAGAGTGTGAGAGGGATGAAACTCTAGGGGCATGTTTGGCTAATTTTTCGGAAACTGTTTTTTTTTTTCTCAAAATTTCAAAAACACTAAAAACTTGTTTGTTTAGCATTTTTGTTCTCAAATTTTTGAGAAAAAAATGAGATTTGAGTCAAAGAAACAGAAAACAAGTTTAGCTTGTTTTAAGAGTTTTACTTGAAAATTTTGAAAACAAGGAGAACAATTTTGAACTTTAATGAGATCTACCCTTCGAATATCTTTAGTAGCAAATTTCTTCATTCCTTTTTTTTTTACTTTTTCCTCTCTATCATAATATATAATATATATTATTATAATACACTAAATAATATAATATGTTATATATTATTATAACATATTATATTATATATTATAATATAATATATAATACATAATATAATATTATACTATAATATAATATATTATATTTTAAAGTTTGGTTTATTGAATTTTTTTTTTTGAAATTTTCAATCTAAAAATAAATTTCTTATATTTTTTATTAATATTTTAATTACTGTTCAAACATATATTTAGGTTGTCCAAACAGGTTTTATTATTTTCTGTACTGTAAAATTATTTTTGAAATCATCTAAACAAACAAGTTTTTTATCTCCAAAAATATCAAAACCATTTTCTTAAAACTCTTCTCAAAAACTGTTTTCGGATACTATTTTTTGAAACGCAAACCAAACAGACCTTGGACTCTTGAGATTTTTTGTGAGGAGAGCGGATTCAAAATGTATAGAGAATAGGGGATGAGAAAGACGTGTGAGAGAGAGAGATAGAATGTAATCTCAATCCAAAATGGTTTAGGCGGGATAAAATTCTATAAGCGGGAAAATATATTTGGGAGAGTAAATTTTATCCATCAAATTAGCTATAGATATTTTTCAGTCAATCTGAGACGTTTGAACAATTTTATAAATAGTATTAGAAAAGGTTTTTAAGAATTTTTTACTCAAATTAAAATTTGAATTTAAAAAGGGTAAGCGTCAGAGATATTTTATAATGTTATAAAATTAAGAGAGCAGAAAACTTAGAATTACAAAGAGACAAGAGAATATAATATATAAATGCTAGATAAAGAGCTTCATAAGCTTGTATTTCTTAATGTATTAGATTACATAATATATTATATTATAATAATATTATATATAATATATAAATATTATATTATATAATATATTAAATAATATAATAAAATTTATAGGCCTTTAAATATAATGACTCATCAAATCTATATCTATATCTATATCTATCTATCTATATTTATACTACTAATAAAAGTACCTTAACATGAAAATCTTTTGATTTACTATTTTACCCTCAAAAAAATTAAAAAGGTCACTCTATCCTTTCACATTTAACATCTAAATTACCATCATATCCTTATGTATTTAAATCTTTAAATTACATATAACATCACTTTTAATTATATATTCTCTATGCATAAATGTCAATTTTTATGAAACTTCTTAATTGATTATATTATTCTTAAAAAGTATATGCATCATTATAAGTTTTAACAAATATTCAAAAAAATTTCAAAAAATTTATCAATATAATATTATTTGCCTTATTTATAAAGATAATATTATGACTACATATTTATATTTTATTTTTCATATTAATACATATTTATATTTTATCTTTCATCAAAATGTTTAACCCTTTCATTTTTAAGGTGAAAATTAATGTATTTATAGTTTTATATAATTTTGTAGTCACAATAAACTTTTTAGACTGTATTAAGATTTTATGTGAAAACTCAATTTTTTTAAAAATATTTAATATGCTTTATAATATATATTATAGCATTGTAAATTAAATTTTATTCTAATAAACCTAGATAATCCTAAATAAAATAAGATTCTAAAATGATTGGTATATTAATAATTATTTTTATTTTATTCAATAATTTATAAATGAAATCTTAATCAAATTAATTTTCTAATTATCTATTCTCTATTTATAAATTTTGATTTTTATGAAATTTTTTTATTGATTATATTATTCATAAAAAATATATACATTAATTTTCGTTTTAACAAAATATTCAAAAAAATCTTCAAAAACTCTATCAATATAATATTACTTATCTCATTTATAAATATAATATTTCACTAAGTTTAGTTTTAAAATTTTAGTTTAGTGGCTCTGCTATTTTAATATATCAATGATAATGTTTAGAAGATACTATCAACTTGGTCGTAAGTGTGGCTCTGCCCATCACTCTGATGTCCTTTAGGACTATGAATTAGATTAAAAAGTTACTGCATTAAATTGGGTGGGAATCATATATACTAGCTCCAACAACATAATTTAGGGAAAAATAATTTGTAAACATAATGACTGCGATCTTTTGATTATCAATAGGTCATAGTATTAAACGTACTTCATTTTTTTTTTTTTTTTGGAAAATAAATTGTATTAGTGAAGCCAAATGTACATGGTAATTACCCACAAAAAGAACAGTGAAGTCGGATAGGACTTAAGACCAAAAGGGAAAAAACAATTATGTAAGGGATGCCCTGTAAGGGGTAGGGTATCACCCACAGAATTGCAAACAAGGGAACAATGATAACAAAATAGGGAAGACTGTTCAGTTCCGGAACAGCAGCAACCCAAAACAGACTGGAACCCACAACTGCACAGAACAATCAAGAACCCCAGCAACAAAGGAGGAAGCAAGCTGGAAGGCACCAACAGCACACATCAATGCAAACAACCATACAACAAACAGAACCACAACATGAGACCGTTTGTACCAACAGTCACCAAAGTTGAAGGGGCAAAGCAGCAGCATCGGGGAGCAAACCAAAGAAATAAGTGCATGCATTCAAAGCAAGAACAATCCCTCCAACCAAGCGCCAGATGCAGGGAACCGAGAATAGTAATAGCCAGCCTCCCTCTATAAAGCAACACATGAACAGGCAAATGGTAACAAACAGGCAAATCCAAAGAGTCCACCATGAAGCGCAAGAGGGAAGAAAAGAGGATAGCCCAGGGAAGGTAGTCCCAAGCCTTCCCATGAAACTGCTGAGCCTGGTGCAACAGCACCGCCTTGAAGGGCCACCACAGGTGCAAGAGAAAACCCAGCAGAAAGCAGAACCAGCAGAACCATAATCCATAGAGCAATCACAGTCAACCACAGAGGACAATACCGAAGACAGATGTATACATTGATGTATGAACCACATTGAATGAAAGAACCATTTTCCTGAAATGCCTGTTCAAATAGTAAGCCACCCAAAAAAAAAAACCAGTAGCAGCGTGAGGGTCAATGCAATGGACACAATCCAAATTATATTCCAATAGTATTAAAGTTATATTATATTACGTAAGTGCTCCTTGATAATTATTACTATTTCCCATCCTAAATATCTGTCATTAAGGTTTTTACACAGGGATTAAGGAAGCTATTAAATAGCTCTAATATGATTAAAAAATAATTATACAAGACTAAAATATTCTTATTCAATACGTATTGAGAAGGAAAAGAATATGAAAGACACTTAGCTTGCACCTAATCTAATGCATTAAAAAGTTAAGGGTATNCAAACAAGGGAACAATGATAACAAAATAGGGAAGACTGTTCAGTTCCGGAACAGCAGCAACCCAAAACAGACTGGAACCCACAACTGCACAGAACAATCAAGAACCCCAGCAACAAAGGAGGAAGCAAGCTGGAAGGCACCAACAGCACACATCAACGCAAACAACCATACAACAAACAGAACCACAACATGAGACCGTTTGTACCAACAGTCACCAAAGTTGAAGGGGCAAAGCAGCAGCATCGGGGAGCAAACCAAAGAAATAAGTGCATGCATTCAAAGCAAGAACAATCCCTCCAACCAAGCGCCAGATGCAGGGAACCGAGAATAGTAATAGCCAGCCTCCCTCTATAAAGCAACACATGAACAGGCAAATGGTAACAAACAGGCAAATCCAAAGAGTCCACCATGAAGCGCAAGAGGGAAGAAAAGAGGATAGCCCAGGGAAGGTAGTCCCAAGCCTTCCCATGAAACTGCTGAGCCTGGTGCAACAGCACCGCCTTGAAGGGCCACCACAGGTGCAAGAGAAAACCCAGCAGAAAGCAGAACCAGCAGAACCATAATCCATAGAGCAATCACAGTCAACCACAGAGGACAATACCGAAGACAGATGTATACATTGATGTATGAACCACATTGAATGAAAGAACCATTTTCCTGAAATGCCTGTTCAAATAGTAAGCCACCCAAAAAAAAACCAGTAGCAGCGTAAGGGTCAATGCAATGGACACAATCCAAATTATATTCCAATAGTATTAAAGTTATATTATACTTTGGTTTCATTAAACGACAGATATTATGGAACAAAAAAAATTATGTAAAACGACAGATATTTAGGAACAGAAAGAGTAATACACTACCAAAAAATCGTATCTAAAGACACTCTGTAATCCAAATAATTTAAAATTTGACAATTTAATATAAATATTTTAAGTTGCAATATAATTATGCTTCGTTTTTGTTAATTCCATAATTTGAAAACAATCTACGCCTACTATCGACAAAAGCCAATGACCAATTGCACTGCCCAAAACTCGAACTACCATTTTAATCACATATTGTGCAACAATAATTTGAATAACATATCCTTTCAACCCAAATCATAGTATCATTGAACCCAAACTTAAACTTGTCAACTAATTTAAAACTAAATCCAATTTAACAACTTGAACCCATCTAATTAACAACCGTAATCAAATTAATAGTCTCATGCATGGAATGAACGGAAAAAAAATATACAGGGACTAAAATTCAAACTCTTCACCACACGCACATACACACATCACAAAAACATGCTATGGAAGATTGAGTAACAAATTTTTTTTTTTCTCTTTTTCTTTGTAACAGATTTTAAAAATCACCCATTACACCAAAAATTGAATATTACATGATTAATCTGAGAAATACCAAGGTAATCAAATGAGAGAGAGAGAGAGAGTAGTTGCTTAACAGCCAAAATTCACAACAGTGACATTACTAAAGCAATGATAGCAGCAAATGCTCATGCCGACAAAAAAATTTCATCATAATCGTATTTATACTTGAACTGATATATGCTCACAAAAGACTCAAGAACATAGAGCATCACTTCAGCAGCAACACCTACGATGAGAAGAGACGAGGCCAGTGAGCATATTTCTAAGAGAAAAATCCAAAATTACTCCACAACAATTAGTTTTGGAATAAAACCACCATCAACCGATTAATTGAATATTAATCCAAGCGTCACCGCAACAAATTTGTTTTTTAGTGACGAGTTTTGGCGACAAATAATAAAATTTGTTGTAAAAAAGTGATTTTCGACGACAATTTCAAATGTTTGTTGTTGTAAACTTTTTGTGATATTTTTTGCGACCATTTTTTGTAGTCGTCGTCAATAGTCTTCACAAACATGTTCCCTCAAAAAAAAAAAATTTGGTGCCAATGTTTGCTCTAAATGCTAATTTTATGGGCAACAAAAAAAATTGTTGCCAAAAAATTTTTTGATCACAAAATTTTTGTCAAATAACTAAAAATAAAAACACAAAAATAATAATACTTAGCGACAATAAATGTTTGTCACAGAAAAAAAAATGTTTAAATTTTTTTTTCCTTGGAGATAATTTATATTTGGTCACAGAATATCACTGCAATAAAAACATTTTATTGCGACAACTTTTTTGCGATATCTAAGAAAAATTGTCGCAATAAAAAAGATATTTTACGGATTGTGTTTAGGTGAGACCTGCTAAACTGTTTATCATACGTTTATCCGTTAAAATAAAATTAATATAATAATAAATTAATAATTATTTTAAAAAATTAGCCAAAAAAAGATGTAAAGAAATCAATACCAAAAAAAAAACAAAAGAAGAGATAAAAGGAGGGAAGATGGGGAGCACTTCAAAGACAAAGGCAAATCAATGTCTTTTGTTTTTGTCTCACATCGGCAAGTGAGGTGAGATGGGGAGGACTGATTTGCCTATAAAAAGTAGTGGCATCTTGCATTTTTTTTTAACCTTAAAATTTGATTTTATGTGAGGTTTGACTATAAATTTTTTTTTTTAGGTAAGTACAGCTGACAGTAAAAAAAATGAAGTATTAAAATGTGTTGATATAATTTTTTAAAAATTAAACGGGTTAAACGAGTCTGTCGTATTACCTGTTTATAAAATTTGTTTATTTTGTTATTTGGCGTTAAAAATATGTTAATCACGAAAAATGAACANCATTTTTTGTAGTCGTCGTCAATAGTCTTCACAAACATGTTCCCTCAAAAAAAAAAATTGGTGCCAATGTTTGCTCTAAATGCTAATTTTATGGGCAACAAAAAAAATTGTTGCCAAAAAATTTTTCGATCACAAAATTTTTGTCAAATAACTAAAAATAAAAAAACAAAAATAATAATACTTAGCGACAATAAATGTTTGTCACAAAAAAAAAATGTTTTAATTTTTTTTTGCTTGGAGATAATTTATATTTGGTCACAGAATATCACTACAATAAAAACATTTTATTGCGACAACTTTTTTGTGATATCTAAGAAAAATTGTCGCAATAAAAAAGACATTTTACGGATTGTGTTTAGGTGAGACCTGCTAAACTGTTTATCATAGGTTTATCCGTTAAAATAAAATTAACATAATAATAAATTAATAATTATTTAAAAAAATTAGCCAAAAAAAAATGTAAAGAAATCAATACCAAAAAAAAAAACAAAAGAAGAGATAAAAGGAGGGAAGATGGGGAGCACTTCAAAGACAAAGGCAAATCAATGTCTTTTGTTTTTGTCCCACATCAGCAAGTGAGGTGAGATGGGGAGGACTGATTTGCCTATAAAAGGTAGTGGCATCTTGCATTTTTTTTTTAACCTTAAAATTTGATTTTATGTGAGGTTTGACTATAAATTTTTTTTTTTAGGTAAGTACAGCTGACAGTAAAAAAAATGAAGTATTAAAATGTGTTGATATAATTTTTTAAAAATTAAACGGGTTAAACGAGTCTGTCGTATTACCCGTTTATAAAATTTGTTTATTTTGTTATTTGACGTTAAAAATATGTTAATCACGAAAAATGAACCTTGATTTTTAACGACAAATATTATGTCATCACCAAAGAGAAAAAAATATGACCATAATATAATTTCTTCCGGCGCCGAAAGTTTTTTTTGACACGTAGATGAATTGTTAAACAACTAAGTTTTTTGTCACCGATAATCTACTTTAGCGACGATACTTTAGTTGGTCGTCAAAAACATTCAGTGGCTAGCCTGTCGTGATAAATTTTTTTGTTGCAAAACATTTTTAACGATGAATTATTCACTTTTCATGATGACTTTTTTGATCGCTAAAAAACANAAAAGATGTAAAGAAATCAATACCAAAAAAAAAACAAAAGAAGAGATAAAAGGAGGGAAGATGGGGAGCACTTCAAAGACAAAGGCAAATCAATGTCTTTTGTTTTTGTCCCACATCAGCAAGTGAGGTGAGATGGGGAGGACTGATTTGCCTATAAAAGGTAGTGGCATCTTGCATTTTTTTTTTAACCTTAAAATTTGATTTTATGTGAGGTTTGACTATAAATTTTTTTTTTTAGGTAAGTACAGCTGACAGTAAAAAAAATGAAGTATTAAAATGTGTTGATATAATTTTTTAAAAATTAAACGGGTTAAACGAGTCTGTCGTATTACCTGTTTATAAAATTTGTTTATTTTGTTATTTGGCGTTAAAAATATGTTAATCACGAAAAATGAACATTGATTTTTAACGACAAATATTATGTCATCACCAAAGAGAAAAAAATATGACCATAATATAATTTCTTCCGGCGCCGAAAGTTTTTTTTGACACGTAGATGAATTGTTAAACAACTAAGTTTTTTGTCACCGATAATCTACTTTAGCGACGATACTTTAGTTGGTCGTCAAAAACATTCAGTGGCTAGCCTGTCGTGATAAATTTTTTTGTTGCAAAACATTTTTAACGATGAATTATTCACTTTTCATGATGACTTTTTTGATCGCTAAAAAACATTTGTAATGCGTACAAATTTTAAGTGTACAAAAAGATTCATTGTAGGAATAAAATTACCATCAACACCTTCAAAAATATTCATTGTACAAAAAGATTCAAAACAGCAATTTAAGCAACCAAAAGAAAAAAGAAAAAAGAAAAAATAAGGAAAAAGCTCAATACAAAAATCCCAGAAAAAAAAAGGAGAATTTAACAAAATAACATCCAAACCCCCTTCGAACCTCAAAATTTGTATAAAGAAACCAAAATTTATCTATTCAAACAAATAATCGACCACACGCCATTTATTCAAAGTCAANATGTGTTGATATAATTTTTTAAAAATTAAACGGGTTAAACGAGTCTGTCGTATTACCCGTTTATAAAATTTGTTTATTTTGTTATTTGACGTTAAAAATATGTTAATCACGAAAAATGAACCTTGATTTTTAACGACAAATATTATGTCATCACCAAAGAGAAAAAAATATGACCATAATATAATTTCTTCCGGCGCCGAAAGTTTTTTTGTGACGAGTAGATGAATTGTTAAGCGACTAAGTTTTTTGTCACCGATGATCTACTTTAGCGACGATACTTTAGTTGGTCGTCAAAAACTTTCAGTGGCTAGCCTGTCGTGACAATTTTTTTTGTTGCAAAACATTTTTAACGATGAATTATTCACTTTTCACGATGACTTTTTTGATCGCTAAAAAACATTTTTTTTGTAATGCGTACAAATTTTAAGTGTACAAAAAGATTCATTGTAGGAATAAAATTACCATCAACACCTTCAAAAATATTCATTGTACAAAAAGATTCAAAACAGCAATTTAAGCAACCAAAAGAAAAAAGAAAAAATAAGGAAAAAGCTCAATACAAAAATCCCAGAAAAAAAGAGAGGAGAATTTAACAAAATAACATCCAAACCCCCTTCGACCCTCAAAATTTGTATAAAGAAACCAAAATTTATCTATTCAAACAAATAATCGACCACACGCCATTTATTCAAAGTCAGATCTTAGAAATACTCAAAACCTACAATCAAAAGGTTTTCCATAAAAACAACTA